ATACTTTCTATATTTTTAGAAGACAGTTTTATTTTTATAGTACGCATACAATATTAATTATCAAATGTTGATGTTGTAAAGCAAATATATGAAAATCTTATCTTATTTAACATGATGATATGAGCTTTGATGCTCCCAGATATATAACTTCCTATATTAATAATAGTCATTTTAGTTTATTAGATCTACTATGAATTCCAAATGAGAGCTACAGTATTCATTTATCATATCATCTAATAATTTAAATGTTGTATTACCAAGTTATCTTCAATAGAATGATCATTATATTGTCTAGGATGATCATTATCATAAATTGTGTTATTTGGATGACTAGTTGTGTCCTGGTTTGCTACATCCAAATAAGATTTATTACAATTATTTGGTATGGAATTATTTACATATAAATGCAATATTTTTTGCGTTTGTATACACTGTTGTCGAAATGAGTTTATTATTTCTAGTTTTTGTAAGCATTTCTTGCATATTAATGATGGAAACTTGTCCGTACCTAAAAACTATTTATTCTGATTAAAAATCAAAATATTAAATCATGAAAAATTATTTTAAGGTATTTACATTTATACTTAATATTTCATAAATAAACTTTAAAGTATCGTTTCTTTCAAAACATTTTGCAAATATAGATTGCATGTTATCTTCGATAGTGAAACAGCATCTGCATATTTTTTCTAATTCATTTTCTCGGAGTTTGGATAATAAATATTCGTCGTTTATTTGTGTAGTATCCATAATTATAAAGAAAGAGTTATATTCAAAAGCTTTGATTTAGAGTATTTTTGGACAAAAAATTTGATGGTCGTGGCTTAAACTTAATTGAAAGTACTATAAAAATATTCAATAGAATCTGATTTATTTAGCATTCTTTCATTATATTTTTGACATAAACAAACTTAACCTTAAAGCTTTATTTACAGTAAATCCAGCGGTACCAACCTACCATCAAGCATAATAATTTCTGTGTTTTCAAACAATAAATTCATTATTCAACTAGTGGTGGATGGCATCGTTCCTTAAGGCAAATTGCTAGAACTTCCCGTACTTTGAAAAAATTAGATTTTTGAGATATCTTACATTTTTGAAAAAATCGATGCGCGTAAGCACCGCGTCGTCGTTTAACGGATAAACGACGTTACGGAATTATTCAAATCGGTTGATCCGTGTTCCTGACGAAAATTTGTATCCGTACACACACACATACATCTAGTTAAAAAACAAGCTAAACGGTAAGAGGTATATAAAAAGTTTGTTTAGACAAAAGATGCACAATAAAATTACGAATAAAATGATATATATATATATATATATATATATATATATATATATATATATATAATTCGATATGTGTATTCATATACTTTTTTTGAGATTTTCTAATTTTCCTTGAAATTCAACTCGTCTATAGGCCAAACTGTTCGAAATACGAAGTTGGAAGAAAAACTAAAAAATTGAGACCATTCTAACGATGTACAATGCTTTATATGGTTTTCATTATACTTATTTATCTATGATGGTTTCTTTGTAAATTTATAAAATAGTTTGAATAGTTGCTCAAACTCATGCTCACTTTTCATTTGAACATCTAAATAATCACACAGTTTATATCTTACAAACTATAAACAATAAAAGATTCATAAACAGTTTGTTTGGACGAAAGATGCAGAATAAAGTAACGAATAAAACGATATATAATTCGATATGGATATTTATATAATTTTCGTGAGATTTTCTAATTTTTCTTGAAATTCGTTAGTAACTCTTTCTTAGGCCAAACCATTTGAAATACAAAGTTGCGATATATGGAAGAAAAACTAAAAATTCTGCGATGAATCTAACAATATATATATATATATATATATATATATATATATATATATATAATACTTTATCTGTTTTCTTTGGGAAATAGTTTGAATAGTTGTTCAAACCTATCCGCACTTTGCATTTAAAGATTTGAATATTCACATATATCATATATCTATTCTACAAAATAAACGGAAGTAGGGTAACATATTCTCTCGCAATAAGTTAACATACGCTTTAATGTGTGTATTAAAGTACACCTATACCCCGCTTTACACGGAAGATAGATTCCTAAAAAACCGTGTATCTCGAAAAATTCACTCTTATATGGAAAAACCGTGCTAAACAAAAATCACTAATATAAAGCTTTTTTTGTCTGAATGATGAATAACAAACACATTGAACGGAAAATAAATATTAATATATTTAATATCTAACACATTTAATAAATTACAAAAATATGATATTAGTAATAGTATTAAAATAACATTATATATAATGTATATATACATTATTATTATACATTTTATTATTATATAATATAATATATATATATATATATTATATATATATTATTATTAATAATATTATATTAATAATAGATATATTAATCTATTTCGTTATATAAGTTAGTTTATTTCAAATTAGCTTATACACACATAAATTCAGTTTTGATCATGAAGCGGGGAGCTTCCATCTTATCTACATATTTCCATAGACTACTAAGAATTCGTAACATACATTTTGTAGCGTTATATTTAGATTGTAAAACAATAAAAATTTTATTGTAGGTTAGCAAATTATTGTTTAGTATTTGTAAAGCAAAATTAAAAAATTTCGTTAAAAAAATTTGTTTCAAAGCCCGCGTAAGATCGAAAACGTGTAAATCGAATACCGTGTAAAACGGGGGATAAGAGTATTTCTTAATTTTGCTGGCAGTCATTTTTACCTCTTTAAAATTGTTAAAAATATTTACATGATTTCACACTGCAACAATAGTTATAAAATCTCAGACATGCATTTTAAGGAATTTAATAGACACTGTTCAGTTTCACTTTTATTAAGAACACTTCCGCTATCTGTTAGAACAATGGCTATTGCTATTGTAATAGACTTCTCATAAGTTATTAAATTATTATAAAACGATTCTGAGGGTCGTTAAATTGATATTGATATGATTACTAGTTGATGACAAATTAAATAGTGCAATTAATAATCGTTGTGATCATAAAAGTTACAAATTAGTTAAGACATTATTAAGTTAATTCACTCTAATCTTTTTGAATGATTTCAATTTTATATTTTTATTTAGAATTTTTTACTTAAATATTATATTAAATGCGTTTATATAAACCGTTAACTCTTTAATTCAAAAGAATAAAAGGAATTTAATAATCATCCTAGTTGCTTATGGTGTAGAGAGGCACTCAACCTGTCCAAAAGCAAAATTTACAATGATTTATTTACCATAAACTTTTTCATGTTTCCACTTTTTTGTGTTTATTCTAGTAAGATAATTTTTATAGTGTTAAAATTATTATAAATACTAACAAATTTAAACTAGGTGTAAGTGGCAATTTGTATTGAGGTAAAGAACCTGCGAGTTTCTCGTATCGGATTCTGATGAAATTTGGCATAATGGTAGATTTTATGCCCCAACTGATTGGGGTAAAATATTAGAGACATATAAAAAGTGGTTTAAATATAAAAGTTATTTGTAATATGCATTGTGAAATTTAATTTTATAAGAAGAAAATTCACAAATAATTTGTTTGGTTTTCTTTGGGTCATCAGCACATAACTCATGAGTCTATATTATACATGGTAACCAACCTTTGCCGGACTCTAAACACAAAAAAGAGGGTTTTATAAATGCGATTCCCTTCTTTTCACTGGTGAATCCTTTGGTCTATTTTTAGAAATAGAGATAGAATTTTTAGAGATAGAAGTAAAAGCCAAAAACCTATGACAGGTTTCAAGTTTCTATTTTCTTGTCCTCAAATGAAATATCTTGTAGTTTTTCCGAAATACCACGTCATTATATTCTAATGTGAGCAAATGAAAAGATAATCAAAATTATCAAGTCTGATAATTTCCATCAAATTGATCAAAATCACTAGTAGTGGAATAAATAATAAATTCATTGATTTTATTAGAAATAATTTTAAATAACAATCAATAAGTCCCAAAAAAAGATGACAGAACCACCTTTAAAATAAACTTTTGAAGGCACGATACACGTTTGGACTGTTTGCTGCGACAGGATAGTGGCAATGACGCTCAACTTCTGACATGATTGTGCTTATGGCTTTCTTCACGTTATACTGTCGCAAAAAAGTTACTAAACCTAGCCAATTTTTAAATAAGGCCACTGAGTAATTTTTTCACTATGTACCATTTTATCCGTATGTCCCCTACGCAATAATAAAATAATAAATACATTTTCTATTACAACAATTATTACATCTACGCCGACAATTGCACGCAAATAATAATAAAATAAATTGATGCAATCTTATAATTCAATCATATACTCAAATAAATAATTCGTTTAGCTTATTTGATCGAATTGTCAAAAAATAGATACGCTTTGAACAGTAGCTATTTATTGTGTACAGATAATTTGTTTTTATTAATAATCGATGTTGTCTTTTATCGTACACCCACCAATTTGTTACAAATACCCCCACTTGAACAAAGTTTGCTTCTTGTTAAGTTCTTGTTAAAGAATTCGATTTTGATTCTATAACTCTTACTGCACGCAACGGAATCATTTAGTGTCTCGGTGAAGTGCCAGCGCGCACCTTCAACGATTTAATATTATTAATATAAAATATAATAATCAATATATAATTAATTATAATTAATAAGTCATAAGTGCTTGAATGTCAATATACAGATGATAACAGAAAATCAAAAGAAAAATTCCTAATTTATTCATATACGTCACAATCATAGTTTAAGACATTAGTTGAATTTTTTTAAATATTAATTTGTGGTAAATTAGCTTCAGGTAATAATTTGTACTGCACAAGCACAGAATTTTTTTGTATAAAATATTATAAACTGTTTGAAATATTTTTAAAATTTGTATCTTAACAATATTTCAATAAATTATATTATAATGCTAATTTATTAAATTAAAAATCGAAACTGTCGTTCGTCAGAAATATTCTGTATGCATATATAGTCGGTATTCAATAAGACTGCGTGAAAGTGTAAGTAACTTTCGTTTGTTTGCCGGACATCGCATGAGAAAGATTCAAAAGTGAGTTTCATCTCGGAAATAAAATGGTAAGTGTTACATGAATTTCATGTTTACTATTTTAATTATATTTCTAATTACATACGTTGATGCACAAATGTTCGTTTTTACGCAATACAAATTATTAGTTTCATAATGCACATAATAGAATTTTTTTTAAATTAAAAATATTGACACCTTTCTTTCTTTCATATTGTTATTTTGTTGTGACTGTTTCATATGACAAAATTTTGTGTTATTTATGTAAAGTATTTAATGGTGTGTCGAAACAATCAAGTTTTTTAAATTTTGTGATATAATTGTAAATATTGAGTTAAATCTAACCGGATTAGTTTCAACTACATATCTTTAACGAATAAGCGAATTTTCAATTCAGCGGATTAATGTCATATTTTGTTAATATTTATGTTTATTTGAAGTAATTAAGTAACATTATACCATTTTATAATATTTACTTCAAAATATCAATTGTTTATATTCGCCTCTCCAGATTATGATTTGTTCCATTGTCAGTGTAAATTCAAACAAATTATTTTAATTATATAGGGCCGTAAAATCTTCACAAAACTATATTGTACAGTTGAAACACACTAGTAACTATATACGAATTAGTTTGGTATAAATTATATTTTCCTTCTTAAAACTTGTAGCAAACAACATTTTGCAAAAAGAAATTGTCGAAATAAAAGTTCATTTATTAAAAATAGGATTTCTCTATTTCTTTAAATAAAAAAAGATTCATAAATTTTATGGCTTAATTTGTCGAATGAGCGTCTGAAAATAAAATAGCTTGTTTAAGAAGAGAGCATTTGCTTGTACAGAAATCTTTATATTCAAGATATATAAACAAGAGTTTTTTAATAGGAAAATAAAAAATAAAAAAAAATGATAGAAACGTATTTTGTTCAAAATTTCCGTGATGGCATTAATGGTTTAATGGTGGAACATAAATTGCAATAAAGTAGTTACATAAAAATATTCATCATTCTCATAATTATTACCTCTAGCTTGATTATTATTTTTATTATTAATTTTTAATAGTTCTTTTAGTATTTATTATCATCTTCTTTCATTACTTCTATTATTCAACATTTTTATTATTCTTATTATTACTATTATAGCTCTTATTATTATCATTGTTTACTTTTATTATGATTTTCAAATAATATGAGTATTATTACTTTTTTATACATTTTTATTTTTATCTTATATTATGTCGTCATCATATGGATGGTGTTTTATTGGAAACACTAATCAATTATAATCACGTCACATGTCTTAATAACAGTTGTGATAATTAAAAAAAAATGCAATAAAATTTATGCCCCGAACACACTATAGATATTCTGTTCATTATGAAGTAAATACCCTAAATTATTAATTTTATTTTGAAGTACTCATACATAGTTGCCAAATGATATTTTCAAATATAGAATATAGTATTATAGTGGTATTTTTTAGAATTTTAATTGGAGTCTTAATCAGTTACCTGTAATTGACGATTATACTTGTCATGAAGAAGTGGCAGAAATTAGTGTATTGACGAGTATACTCGTTATTCGTGTACAGCAGTGTCCCATTGCTATTTTAATTGAAGTTTTTTTTTTAAAAAACAATATATTTTGAAGAGTCAAGTTGTTTAGAATATTTTGGGGCTATATATTAACTGTATGAAATAAGTAGTTGCAAGTTGTAGTAGCATTTCTCCTTAAGGAAATGTGGAAATAATATACTTAATCAATAATGAAGAATTAAGATTTTGCTATTGAAATAAAATTTTCTTCAGTTCATTTGAAAATAGTATTTCCTTTTCATAAAAAACGATTCGTACTTTCTTACATTAACATGATGAATATTTTATTGATTTGAATCCATTTTTAGTTTTTAGTTAATACTCATGTTACATGTGTAAAAAGTTAACAAAGAAGAAAAGTAAAGAACATTTTTCAATTTTATAAAATAAACCCATGACATATCTTACCAGGACAAATTACTCTGTGATTGACGAATAAACTCGTCATGAGCTCGATTCGGACGCCACAAAGAGTTCTATGTGAACGACACAGTTAACTGGTTAACATGAATGAAAATTTAAAAAAAAAATTATATCTAATATTTTTTTTATTATTTATTTATATTATTTTCATATTTCAGTCAGACATGGGTGTCTGGTATGAGAGAAAATAGTACTCGATATAATAATAATAATAATAAATAGTAGTCTGCCCGAAAGCAGGTCCATGGTATGAGAGCACTACAAAATCATTGATTTTTTTCTCTCCCTATACTCGATTTGATAAATATTTCCATTGTCGTTTTATTACCATTAATTAATGACCATTAATAACTCTATACTCGATTTAATGAATTTGCCTTTCCATGCATCCTGGTCGTGTGCTTCGGCTTTCAGTTTTCTTTATTTCCTCTTCTTGCGTAAGTCATCAACCATCTGCATTCTTCTTCTTCCCAATCCTTTCAGTCTTTCTATTTTGCCTTCGATGACGTCGTGTAGGAGGCGCTTTTTTGCAGAATGGGTCCGATCCAGTTTCCTTTTCTTTTCAGGATCGTTCTCAGTGGACTCTTTTCTTTGCCCACTCTTCTCAGGACTTTTTTATTTGTTATCTTATCAGTCCACTTTATTGTCTGTATTCGCCTCCAGCACCACATTTTAAAACTCTCAGACAGTTTTTGTCGGCTTTTGTTAGAGTCTGTTTTTTGATCATCTGATTATTTGATATATCATATTAAATATATACAAGTTGAATATGCTTAATAAATTTACTGGATTTGAAGTGATTTTTTCAAATGATATATATTTATAGAAAAAGTAAAATTAAATATTTCAATGATAAGTGGAACAGTACTGAACGAATATGACATATTCAAATAATAATATAAATGCGAATAATGCCTTCTACAATGAAAGGAGTTGTAAATTTATCCATAAATCAATTTATAACAGTCTATTTCTATTGCGGGTGAGTGCTCATTGGCCAACGATGGGTGCTTTTCTATCTAATTATTTGTGTTAATATTAATCGATACGGTGAATTTCATTCATCCTTATTAAGTAACAATTACAGGTGTTAACGAAATTGCCAAAGAAATTGATTTCTTTTATTGCATTTTTTGCCACATGTTGTGCGTGACGATCGACATTACATACATTCTGCGCGTGTTTCATGTTCAATCCTTTGCATCGCTTTGTACCGGCTGATACTTAAGAGAAAATTTTCTTAACGCAATGCAGTTTTATGGAAAATAGTATTTTTAACCTTTTATATTTTTCTTGTACTTAGTGATACTTGCTGTATAACAAATATTTTCAATAAACAACTGTGACCGCAAAGAACTGAATTTTACAAAAAAATTAAGTTTAGGAATAGTAACAATTTACACAATTTTAATATTTACTGCGATTCGAGATTAGTTTTATTACTCATTATACAAAGCGTAGTTACTGAAATATACTTTCAGTTATTTGTTAAATTAATAAAAGTATTTTATGGATTTTTTCCACATGAGCTAACCCTAATTGAGGCAATACTATTATTTCAGAATTGTACACTCCATAGAATTTTATAATTGACTCTAGATCATTTCAGTTTCGATTATACAGAATTATACGACTTCAGTTTCGGTTATATAGAAAAAACTTACTAATACAAGTTAATATTTTCAATAATATTGTAAATTAAGTGGTAACTTTTGAAGTAATAATGAATTATATAGAAGCAATATGCAGGATAGCCTTCATTGCCAAGACGAGTATACTCGTCCTACTTTGAAAATATTATAACATGTTGTAGGCTTTTGAATTAGCAGGAATCTGATTTTTTAGCAACAATCATGATATGATTGTAATATGATGCAATATGATGATAATAAGTTTCATGTATTACAAATTAATTATTTACAAGAATTCAAAGCAAGAAGTTCTATATAATAATATAATAATATTCTGTTAATTGCTTGGGTTTTGATGTTAATAACTATGCAAAAAACTTGAAAAATACTACTTTTTTTTCAAAAAAAAAACATTTTTTATGGCGAATTTATAAGAAAATTAATTATAAATTATAGCAAATAAATCCAACTGCATTAGTTTTCTATAAATGATTATGTGATGTGTATAATAATGACACTCAAAATATGATTGGCAAAGGAAATGACCTCATATAAATTGGGCTTGGCAGCGAATGGGTTAATATTCTACAATAAAATTAAAAATTCAATGGCAAATTTCAGAAAACGTAAATTAGTATCAGGCAATTTGAAATTTTGATTCTTTCATTTAGTTATTATTTTGTACACCAATAAGATATGAGGAAACTTATGAATTCAAAAATGTATTCTTCTCGTAGGGTAAGTTATTGTAATCGTCCAGAAATCGAAATTGAAAATGTTTGCATATCCTCATGTTTTGAAGGTTTCTGAACATTTTGGCATAATTTAAAAAAAATGGATGTGTGTGTAGGTATGTATGAATACAATTTCCCGTCCACGTTGTCAAACGCAAATATCAACCAATTTTAATGGTTCAAACAACATTCGATTCCTATTGATAAGAAGATGTGCTGATTAGTTTCTGGCAAAGGCCATATTCGAGTTATCGATCGTTTTTGGAATATTTTTTTTTTCCAATCCTGTTTCCTTTATTTTTCATAATCATATCCAGTACAGTTATTTTCTCTGCCATTTTTTGCATTATTTTTTTTGCTGTCTTGTACTCGATAAAAATAAATTAAGATTTAAATTAATTATTTATGATTTGGTAAGATTAGTTGTAATATTCAATAATTTACAAAACAGTTGTTTTAAATTATTTTAAAATTTGGAATATAAATATGTTGCAGCTATATTTCATTGTGCAATTCCTCTTTATATCCTTTTGTGAAACAAGATTATATTATGACATAACATGCATTTCCCAATTTGATATAAAAATCGTTTAGTATTGTTTACACAAACGAGCTTCACATTGTTGCACATGAAAATTACATAAAATTGCAGTAAGGTATTTATATTA